TTGTTTTTTTTTTTTAAAGCTTGGTATTTAAAAGCTTCAAGAATCCCTATTCCACAATGGGAGTATGCACGGCAAGAAGGAGGTTTCTAGTCGATACTAGTTTCCACTAAAGGATAGCATAAAGTGTGTGGCAGGGAATAATTTCATGTTTTCTTTAATACAGATATTTTTACACTGAAATTCACATTGTATACTTCAGTGTGTTTAAAATCTTAACTAAACATGCCAATCCATAGTATTTGCTTAGACTTACTAACATGGTAAATCTCGGTAAGTCTACATTCCTTTTTAATATTTAACCCTTGTAGTTGTTTTGCAGTATATTCATGTTATTGATTAAGTCATTATCAGACTTGTTTGCATGCTTATGTAAAGCAGTTAGTGCAGGAACAGTTGATATTATGCAGTAATTTCAGGTAAATGTGATGTTGATGAAGTAGTTAACGTAATGGTTTTTTCTAAACTTTTTAATTGAAGCACAAATTGAAGTATGATTGTGTTTCTCCATATTGAGAACGTGGTTAGGTAGCAAGCGGACTAATTAGCTTGGAATAACGGTGTGAAGTGTGTTGGTGCCAAAGTAGAAATGAAGGAGCGAAGAAGCTAAAGGCTGTTTTGTAGATGCAAGCGTTGTTTTAGAATGGTAAGAGGGGTGCTGTAAGTTCATAACTGTTATGTGATTTCAGTTTTATAAAAATACAAAAAGTTTACAAAAATGTATATAAAAATGTAAATGAAAAAATGTACAGAAAAAATTTAAAACAAAAAATGAGCAGAAAATACTGTATTTTTTTACACTGTATGTAACTTTTTGTAGGTATGTTGCATGTAGATGGTAATTTATTGTGTACTCTGTATGATTTAAATACTGTACCTCTGAAGACTTCTTGCTGCAAGTCTCTGCGCCTGGAAGCTCACTTCTGGAGTACTGTGGTTGCAGGTAACGAACCTACTGAGTCTTGTTTCAGTTGAGAACAAAAATAAACCAAGTGCTGTATTTGTTAACTGGTGAGTTACGGTTGGTTACTCGATGCTTTTGGCTTGCTTTTTGGTTTTTTGCTGTACAGTTTGAATGGTACTGCAGCTGTGTTCCGGGTTCCCCAGAAGTACTGGTAAGCAGCTCGCAAAGAAAAAGGAGAGACTCCTGTATGCGTTGCTACTGGATGTGAATATTTTCTCAGCTTTGCTCTGAGCTGTTTTAGAAGCTAGTGTGAGGGATCCTCTGCTTGTCACCCAGCTGCAGCCGGGCTCTGTTGTGCTGGGATGAGTGTTGTGAATGGCAGGTTTGCACATCTGGCAAATGGGAGCTCCCACTCGTGGTTAAGTTGGGGGTCATTACAGGCAAAGTCTTCCGGGTTTTCCTGAGTTTGTGGTTGCCGCTGTTCCCAGTCTTCTGAGTGAAACCTGGTCTCAGGATACGTCTGTGTCTTCGCAATCCAAAACACCTACAGTAACTCATCAAAGGCAAACTTCAGCTTGTTTCCTTTTCCTCTCATCCTGCCAAAGTATTTCCGTGTGGTGCCTGTGCTACAAAAAAGGAAGGAATAAGGGGCTGTAAATGCTCCTTGCTGGAAAGGTGCTCCCAGCCCTTGAAAGACAAAAAGGGAACCAGGACCTGCACTGAGCTAGATGCTGAGATGGCTGTAAGCTTCAGGACAGACCTCTTGCACCTTGTAGCTTCATCCGGGTCTTGTCTCATTCTGTCTGTTTTCTTTCTTGAGCAAGCGACCGAGTGAGAGAAAGCAGGAAGATGCTCCCTCTGCCAGGCCAGCCGTCTTCTGGCTCCATCTGCTGCGAGGGGAAATCCCACCTCGGATGTCCCAGCATCAGGGCAGCACGTGTAGGCTGGGCTGGGAATGCATCGGGTGCTGTGAGGCTGATGTGAGTGCTGTCACTCACCGGCAGGGAGCATGTGTGGGAAGAATAGGGCCATTGCTGCTCTTAAAATAATCCTCTTGAGTGTAATAACAATACTTTTTTTTTTTCCTTCGTGGTCTTCATAGTTACTTTTTTTAAAAATGGGAACACACTACAAGGCTTCTCACTTCCCACATACAATAGATGAGGGATGGACACTTGATATTACCAAGAGTTCTGTATGAAATTCCCTTCTGTCTAAAAAGTCACATGTGCCCCTGACAGCCAATTCCATACTGGAACTGTTCATCTTTGAGACACACGCTGCAATGTTTCAAGAGGAATGGCTTCCTTGCTGGCTGTTGTGACCACTTGGAACCTGAAAGCTGGTGCAGCAAAGATGTTCAGCTTCTACTTCAAAGGTTCCCACTCGGGTCGCTTCAGTACAGCAACCGCCTCGCTCGGGAGTCAGCAGATAGTGCGTGCGCTGTGTAGGTGGGCTGTTACGAAGTTAGAAAGCCGTGGGCAATGTCCCTGGGTTTACTAACAGCTTGTGAGATTAGTCTGTTTAATAAAGCTTGGGGTGTACCCTTCAGCCCCTTTCAAGTTCGTCCCAGCATGAAAAGAAATTTGCTTGCAAGGACGTTGTCAGGTTTACTTCTGTGGTTTGATAATTTAGGCTCAACTTTGATTTTGCCGGGTCGGAGAGCTGTGTCTCCCTCAAAGGGGGTTTGCCTGGCTTTGTTCAGAGAGTGGGGCTTTTCGTGGTTGGCTTGTTTTTAATAGCAGAGGTGTGCATGGTTTTTTTAAATGCTGGTTTGGGCTTTCTTGTACCACGAGGTGAAACTTTGAACGCTTGCAGTCTCAAGAGTTTAAATATGTGCTCATTTTCATAAGTGCCTTGTCAGTAAGACTGGTTTGGGTGGGGGCTGAAAGGGAATGTTTCTGTGGGGAACACATCCCCTGGGACAGCCCCTAGCTGTAGGGTTTCTCTGCGAGCTTGGGGATGTTAATCCCTGTGCCTTTGTGAGAGAGCGTGTTGCCTAACCTATTTGTAGAGCTGAAGGTTCAGTGTAGACGAGCCCGGGTTTCTGAGAGGATCTTGGGGTGTTATCATAGTGCTCACCTGCTCTCCTGTGGCTGAACTGGGCCGCAAGGGATTGGTAGTGGAACCACTTCTCTTCCTAGTGAATTGTCGTTCCATAATTAAATAATGATAATGGCATTTTAAAAAGGAGAATTGACTTCTCCGCCACTTGATTGTATAACAAGTGACACGGAGCAGTAAAATCTGTCAGCATAAATCAGTTGGTATGTTCAGGCTCTGGTCTTTAACAGCTCCCCATTTTTTCTGGTGGAATAAGTAATAATGTTTCTGTTGGTCAGTGCTTAGAGCAGGCTCTGCGCTTGGCTGTAGTGTGAAAGGCTGAACCACGCAGTAGAGGAAACAGTAGATTGAAAAGGCAGTGCTGCCTCACAGTCTCGTGCCATTTCTTTGCCTGCTTGTGAAGGAGCTGGGCTAATAGCAGAGTGCCTTACTCTCGTGATACCAGTTAGCTGTCAGGGCTTTGAAGCTCAGCGAGGTGTGAATCAGTACATACTGGGGCAAGACCAGAAGCTGCAGTTTCCAGTTCAATATCTTTTCATAGCGCCTTTAACGAGGGAAAATGTCTGTGTTTCACAGTGATGCCTAACTCACAGCTGCTGTCTTCAGCTCCCTAAAAACTTGATGCATGTGAGGCAGATGACTCACAAGAGATTTTTAAGGATGTACTCCAGGGACCAGCAAAATGCGCTTCGCTAGCATACGTGCTCAGAGAGCAAGATCTGTTTTGCTGTGCAGAATTTAGTGGATATGTGTACACACGAGCGGTGGTTCCACCATCACTGGGGAGAGACTGGGCAGGAGATAAACAGGAGTGGATGTGTTGAGGACAGCTGAGCAGCGCCTGTGCTGTGTGTTCTTGTTTAACTGAGCTGCGTACGTTCTTCCAAACAGGGAAAGGCATGGTTTGGAGTTCAGGTCTCAACAGTCAGGTTTTGAGTTCTTGCTCTGAATTCCTGTTGTGTAAAAGCTTTTCTGGAAGAGTTTCAGAATATAGATGAGAGAATGTCTAACATACGTACTGACAAAACTGCCGTTACTAGCTTCTTCACAAAATGGCCACTGTTTTTCCTCAAGCAGAGTGCCAAGTAGTGTAACGGAGGACGGTTAATGGTGGAGATCAGCATGGAAGTCACCAGTTGGGACAGCAGAGAGAAGCTGCATATAATGATAAAACATCAGACTAGAAGGTGTTAGACAGCTCTAACTATGG